CCTGGCCAGCACAAACCATGGTTAGATGCTCCATAGCTCATTCCCAGTTCATGCCTGGCCAGCACAAACCATGGTGAGATGCTCCATAGCTCATTCCCACTTCGTGCCCACCCAGCTGCTCTGTGCACGAGGCTCTCATCCTGAGGCAGAAGTGTTTGGGGGCAAGTGGACATGAACTTCTGTTTTTTTGGTTTTTTTTTTTTTTTCCTGTTTGGAAGTTTAACACTGATAGCAGCGCCAGCACGGCATCTTGGCAGTCAATTCTGCTTGTACATCTGTTGCCAAAAAGCAAATATTTAGAGGAGGGAGAAGATGTAGCCAAGGATGGTGGATTTCAGCACATACTGAGATAAGAACAGGGCACAAGTGGTCACTGGCACATGTTTTAGCAGGCAAAACATGCAGAGAATATTTTACCTTACAAGAACAGAGCCTTCTGATGTGCATTTAAGTTGGACATCCAGAAGTTAAAGAATCACCTGTATTAAACTCTGTTTCTTAGGTCAATATTTATAGAGCCTCACATTTTAAATGCAGCTCTTGTTTTAAGACAACAATGGAGTAAAGAGAAACTTTTGTCTTCTCACAGAAGCTTCATGAAGCTTGTAGTTTCCAGTTTGGTGGGGATAATGTTTCTTTAATAAAGTTTATTTTTTTTATGTAGTTGCTAAGGCCATTCAAAACCAGCAGTTTTTGGAATGTTTTCCTGCTGAGTCACTGCTTATTCTGGGAAATTCTGAAGGAAGAGATACTGAATGTGGGAGACTAATGCTTTTAAATCTACTTATAATTAATAATGGTTGGAACTTTCCCATGACACTGCAGCTTCTCTAGAATTAGACTAATGTGTTGGAATGCAGAGTATCAATTCTGTTGCCTAACAGCTCTACCCCAATGCCTTCACAGGTGGGGATGGTTACTGCGAATAAGGTTTGTACTCACAGAAACTGAACTGCTGACCTGCTCCTGTTCGTAGCTTTGAGTTCAGATGTGTGCTTGGAACTGTGCTCTGCCAGCCCTGTGTTCTCCCCCCTCCATAGGAACTGTGCTCTGCCAGCTCTGTGTCTCATCTCTGCACAGCACTCAGCCTGCAAGGGGCTCAAGCCTCTGCTGCAGTGAGCATTCAGTTATCCCTTAAGTCCCTGGAGAGAATTAGCCCTTCACAGCAGCCCCCAGAGTTAGTCCCCAATCAGGTGTGATGGGTGACCCCTTTCCAGCAGGCTTCATCTCCTCAGTGCAGGCAAATTGGATTTTTCCTACACTTTGGTGGTGTGTGGTTATGTTTTAACATAGCTCTCACTGTAGTTTTGCAGTTCTTTTCAGCAACTTGGAGTTTTATTGGCAAAACCCAGGCTGAGCCCGTGGCAGAGCAGCCCCTGCACCGTGGCACCTTCCAGGCTCCCTGCTGGCTCTGCTGCACACCCCACTGCTGGCCTGGGGGGCCCTGGGGTGCTGCCCCATTGCCTGGGTGCTGCCCCATTGCCTGGGTGCTGCCCCATTGCCTGGGTGCTGCCCCACTGCTGGCCTGGGGGGCCCTGGGGTGCTGCCCCACTGCCTGGGTGCTGCCCCACTGCCTGGGTGCTGCTCCTGCTGCCTCCCCAGGGAGCACTGGGGACTCAGGGCTGCCAGGCTCTCCCAGGCTTTGCCTCTGCAGCAGGGCTGAAATCAGGCTTGGACTGAGAACTCATGCTGGAAGTCATTCAGGCTGGAAGTCATTCAGGCTGGAAGTCATTCAGCTTTGGGGTTTCTGTTAATTGGAGAAGGAGGTGCCCAGAGCAGCTGGGGCTGCCCCTGGATCCCTGGCAGTGCCCAAGGCCAGGCTGGGTGGGCTTGGAGGAACCTGGGACAGCCAGAGGTTTCCCTGCCTATTATAGGATTCCATGAAGAAACCTGCAGTTAATGAGCTGCTTAAGCAACTGAAAAGTAGCTTTGATTTTTAAAATAACTGACTTCTGATTGTACTTTTGTCAGTATATTTAAAATATGAGGGTAATTTATTCCCAAGCTGAAGTCAGAAGTGAGGCTGGGCTCTGGATCTTGACAGCACTTTACAATGAAGCTAGCAGCAGCAGCTGTGCTAGTGAATCAAACTTCAAGGAAAGACTTAATCTAAATTTCCAAGTGTTTCGTAGTTTGACCATATTTATTTTCGTTTTAAGGTTTTCCTGGTTCTGAGGAAATTGCTTCAATGTAGCAGACAGGGAGGGTTTGTTTTACCCCAGTGCAATGGGAGAAATCCTCATCTTGTAATTAACACCCAGCTGGGGCTGCTTCATTAGAATTGGGCACAGCAAGCACCTGCCAGAGGGGACTGCAAACCAGAGCAAATTGGCCCAGGTGTGTGCTGTGAACACAGAATGGGAGCTCCACACAGGAAAACTGGGAGAGGAAAGCTGCTGAGGGAGGATTCTCTCCAAAACTGGTGAAGGGACCTAGAAGATCCAGCCTGTTCAGCTAAAATCCGCGTGGGGAGGGGTTGAAGTGACACTCAGGCTCACCTCCAGCACTACACTCCATGCTAAAGCATCCACCTTTTCCAGAGCAATGTGTTTTTAAAGGATTAATAATCTGAATTAACACCACCACCACCTGCACGTAAGTGTCTGCTCTAATATTCACACCTGCACATACCAGCACTTACAGACTCACTAATTCACAATGTGCAGCTGCTGGTTTTAATTTGAACCTTAACAAGTGGAATCAGGGAACAAAATTAAGGTGCCAGCAAACCTCATAATGATCCCTGAATTCTGACCTGTCCTCAGGATACTGTTGACTCCTTTGTCCCTGTACTGGCTTTAGTAATGCCTCAAATTCTATTTATGGTGTTCAAGTGAGAAGCCCTAGAATATTCTAATCAAAGGTTTTATTAAATAATCCAGATGTTTGACCAGCATTCAGTAGGAACTGTATTGGCAAGTGCAATGGTAAGGAAAAGGCCCCTGATTGGCCGCCACTGTTGCTAATTGCTAATTGCTAATGATGTGTGTGCTAACTACTAACCCCCCCAGTGCCCTGCTGTGTGTGTGCGTGTCCCCAGCATGGCCAGAGAGGGGCTGCTGCTGCTCCCATTAACCCACTAAAGCCTTGGAGAGCAGAATGTGGCTCCTGCTGT